TGCGTCCATGGCGGACAAGGTTTCTGTGCCAAGAGCATTTTCTTTCTGAACACTATTATAAATAGTAGAATCATTCTCATTTCTGCTTTCTGAGTTCATCAGTTCCCTTAAAAGGACATCTTTGAAAATGCTGTTTAGAAAGGTCAATGTGACGAACCTAAAGTAGAGTGACTGTAGAGCACACAAAAGTACAGTAAATATGGGCAACCAGATTGTTTTTCCCTCATTGGATTAAATTAAAATGTGTTTCTCTAGGTTAGTGAATCTTACATAAATCACTAGTGACTGGGATATGACTACACCAACCTGTTATTGCCGCTTCCCGCAGGTTGTTATGCCAGTTCCTGATGGAGAGCTATATTCCATTTAAGGCAGTTAAAAGAAGTCAGAAACCTAGTCACTGGACTCATGGCTCACTTCTAAATAGCTTCAGTCCTGTTAGGGATCCAGGTACTTTGATAGGCCCCTCTTTACACAGCTTTGTTCCTGGCATCTGCCTCCAGGGTCCCACTGCAACACCAAGGCCCTTAAGATGGCAAGGAACAAGGTTTACAGCACATTTCAGGAGAAGGGGAACCCATACACCCAATGTCACAGCTGTGGCAACCTGTTGGTAGGCCAACTACCCCATTTTAAACCAGAGCCAAAATTATTTCACTGTCCATTTGCTCTCACTCTTCATCCCAGCCCATTACAGACATCAATATCCAGTTGGGTTTAGAATGCATTTAAATAGTTTTACTTCAACATAACTTGTCAGCAAATAATTTTTCTCCACAGAGAGGTATTTAAAAATGGTGGCTTAAGGCAAGTCTCAAGAGAACAAACATTATAAATAATTTTTAGTGCTTACAGTGACACAGGGACTCAGTTGGTCTCCTAAAAAGAGGGAAATGCTGTCCTGTTCTTCCCCAAACTAAGGGCAAAATCCTTAAAGTAGTATTAAACGCTCAGTTCAATGCACACAAAAAAAAAAGCGCTCAGTAAACTATTTGCTAAAATTCTTACTCCAGAACTTTCAACATTGCTGGCTTCTGCTCTGCTCCTGCTCTGTCTGTGCTGCTTCCCTGAACTTTCCTTCTCAGGAGAGAGTTGACAGTCGACCATGCAGTTTCGATCCAGCCTGTTAGCTGGGGAATGCCATACAGGCTTTTCCAAATGTATTTTCCAAAATGTATAGTCTAGTGTAACCTTTCTCAACTGGGGTGCCGTTATGTCCTGGCAGAGAAAGGCTGTCACTGAAGGATTTTGCACGCTATATGAAGGTCATGTTACCCATTTGTGGCACTATCGCATGAGATAATAAAAGAGTCAATTCATCAAATTAAAATATTGAATGTGAGCAGCCTTTCTCAACCTGGTGCCACCTGAAGTCTTCAGGGGTGCCGTGGCATTGGTAGAGAAAGGCTGTCAGTTGTGCCCGAGCTGCCGATGCCCAGCTGCACTGTACATCCGCACTGGGAGCCATCAGACTACTGAGCAAAGTGAACACAAAGGGAAGGAGAGTGTCTTCTGTGCATTTTGCCTCCCCCCAGAGTGCTGTGTGAAAGAAGGTAAGGTACTGTACTGTAACATTTCATAGGGCTGTATACATGTGTGTGTGTACATGTGTGTGTCATGTATATGTGTGTGTATCTGTGTGTGTGTATGTATGTGTGTGTATATGTGCGCACATGTGTGTGTGTCTGTGTGTATATGTTGTGTGTGTGTGTGTGTGTGTGTATGTACATGTGTTTGTACGTGTTTACATGTGTTTGTGTGTGTGTACTTGTGTTTGTATGTGTACATGCGTTTGTGTGTGTATGTTTTAATGTGTGTGTTTGTTTTATATGTCTGTGTGTATGCATGTTACCTAATCTTGACCTCCAATTCCTGTCCTATCAAACTACTTTTTTAGGACTTGTTCATAATAGCAGCAAGGACTACGCTCCTCTGAAAAGCAGTCCATGCTCATATCACTTTTCAGAGACATTTGACAAATGGTAAAGAGCCAATATGTTGTCTCCTCACCATCTGCTTTAATCCCATAAAAAGCAGTATCACCACACCACAACCGTGTGCAATGCGCACACAGTTGCAAAGTGGTTGTAGTTCAACCCCATTCACCTGGAAGTATACTTCCAGCTGCGTGGCCACAGCATGTGTATACCCCCAGCTGCTGCTTCTGCAGCTAAAGGGGGAGCAGTTGGGGGTGGTAAAAGCAACTCAATTGCATTGTTTTACTGCCCTCCAACCTCACAGGTGAACAAGCCCTAGGTTCACATCTCTGTGGATGGGTGTAGGGCAGTCCATTCATTTCAATGGGCTGCCTTACCAGCAGAAATGCAGGAAAAGTTTTCCTTGACTCTTTTTTTTTAAATTGCACCACACCAAAAACACCCCGGGTGTGCCAATGCATGGAGTACCCCTAAAGAGCAGAGCTTTTGTCTGCGCATCAGGAATGAGCGTGGTTTCATGTGCGTTCCGTGACACACAGTAACGTGAACCAATCCTTCAGTCTCATGACTGAAAATATTTTTCCAGGTTTCCCCGACTGGAAAAAGGTTGAAAAACACTGGTCTAGTGGGTGCTATATGCTAATAAAAGTTTTCTTATAGACAGGTACTGCGCACCTGCATTTTAGGAGGAATTCATTACAATGCAGGCTACAGTGAAGAGCCAAGGTGTGCTCTCTACCTACCACTGCAGAGAGCACTCTATGATTGAAGGAAAGGCTTCTCACCGGACCAGGCTTTCTGCATCCTGGCACTTTTTTGTGTATATAAGTGGTGCTTTGTTAGGTTTGGAGTCCCAAGCAAGACACTAAATACATTTATTGAACACTGCATGGTTTTATAAATATGCATTTTTAAGCAGTTGTATTGCATGCTGAGGCCTTACTGAAGTTTAAAGCCGTACCCCTTAACTCCATATAATGTGTGCCCTAAGTGAGTTTAACTGCAAAATATTCATATTTGACTAGTGGCACTTTAAATCCTTCCCATATAACAGGTTCCCAAGGGAATAGATACAGTAAGTCAACAAAGCAACTCATCTCTAAATCTGCCCGAATGTTCAGAACACTTTGGACTTTGTACATTTTCCTTGAGATGTTGGGTCCACTCCTGTTCTGTAACTATTTATATTCGTGTGCTTCTCTGTTTGAATTCCTAAGACTTGGTCAGCATTGGTGTTAAGGTTTAATTACTTGGCATTTAACAAATCAGAAATAAAAAGGTAATTGTCAGCAATAACTGTGCTATCTGTAGACAAAGCTCAAGATTTGCTGATCTGTCATTGAAAACTATTTGGTTAGGTAAATACCAATGCAGATCAGAACATGCAAAAGCAAACTTGCTCAGAGCCAGCCATGATCCTTTCTTTGTAACACCACCTGTTTGTAGTGCCGATGCAATTCTTTGTCAAAACAGTAAATGACAAGAAACAACTTCAAAATACAAGTTTGTTATTGGTGAAGCTAAAAGTGCTACATAGGTTAGCTGAAAATTGGAAGATATAGACAATCAGAAATCTGCACAAACATGCTCTTCGAAGGGTGGGGACAGGCACTTACGTGGGATTCCAGCCAAAATATATTTAGTTTTGGATTGAATGGGGAAATCTTAGCACGCCTTTCAGGTTTCTATTGCTGTTTGTTTCACAATTGGGGAGATTTGCCTCATTTCCTGTCCTGGTAACATAAGATTTAAAAAATACACCCTTTTTGTAGAATAGTGCAGAAAGACTAAATACTCTGATAGCTTTCTAATGCTGTCCCACATACAGTAGTGCAGGTATCAGGAGCATGTATTGTACAGAGTGCAAGAGTTAAAAGTAGGTAATGTTCAACATACTGTAGTTTTATATAGTGTAAGAGTCAGGATTTTTTAACACACAGAGTACAGGGGTCAGGAGTAATACAATAAATGCAGGGGTCAAGAGTAAGAAATGCAAAGAGTACAAAGGTCAAGAGTGCATAATGTACAGAGTGCAGGAGTATAGACGGTGTAACAGAGTGCAGGGGTGAGAAGTACATAATGCACAGAGTGCAGGGGCCAGGATTACATAGGGCACAGAATACAAGGGCCAGGAGTTAATAAGACACTGAGTCATTAGAAGTACATAATACACAGAGTCCAGGGGCCAGGGTACATAATACAAAGAGTACAGAGGCCAGGAGTTCATAAGGCACAAAGTGCAAGGGCCAGAGGTTCATAAGATACAAAGTACAGGCATCAGGAGCACATAATTCAGAGGCCATGTGTACATAAGGCACAGAGTGCAGGGGCCATAAGTATGTTAGGTACAGAGTTCAGGGGTCAGGAGTAATACAAGGAATGCAGAGGTCAAGAGTAGGAATTGCACAAGGGCCAGGACCAGGAGTCCATAATGCAGAGTGCAGGAGTATGGAGTGTGTAACATACAAAGCACAGGAGTATGTAGTGCACAACGTTCAGGGGCCATGAGTACATACAGGACAGCATTGCAGAGTGCAGGGGTCAAGAGTACAGAATCACAGGGTGCAGGGGCCAGGAGCACATAAGGCACAAAGTGCAAGGGTTAGGACTACATGATACACAGATGTACATAAGGTTCAGTTTTCAGGGGTCAACAGTGCAGCAGCTATATGCATGTAACATACAGCACAGTATACAGAGTATGACCTCAAGAGCATGTAACTTACAGCAAAGTGTACAGAGCACAGTAGACAGGGTTATGTAACATACAGCATAGTGTTCAAAGTATGGTTGTCAGGAATATGTAAGCTACACTCTACAATCAGAACTTAAAATTTCAAGTCCTGAGCTACTAGCCAGGCCTTAGAGTTACTAGCCACCAACAAACACACACAAACAGAGACACCTGTACACACACACAGACATGTACATACACACACACACACACACACACACACACACACACACAGAAACATGTACACACGCACAGAGACACATGTACACACACACACACACACATACAGACACATGTATACACACACAGGCACGTATACACACAGATACATGTACATACACAGAAATACACACGCACAGACACATGTACATATATACACGGACACATGTACACACAGACACATGTACGTACATACACACAAACACACACACATGTACATGCACACACACACAGACACATGTACACACACACAGACACATGTACACACACACACAGACATGTACGTACACGCAGGAACATGTACAGATACACACATGTACATACACACAGACACATGTACAATTGTACATGCATACACACATGTACAAAACACACACACACATGTACACGTACACCCACCCCCCCATAAAACGTTGCAGTACTTCGTTGTTCACTCACAGAGCCGGGTACTGCACTCTAGGGGGAGTCAGAGAGCACAGACACACACTCCTTGCTTTGCTTTCACTGCGCTCAGCTATTGAGCAGTCTGACGGCTCCCAGTGCCAATGACAGATCCGGCCTGACCTCCAAGCCTGCTCAGCAAGACGGCCCTGGGGGACACACTCCCCCCCATAGTTTCCACTCGCCATTGGCGAGCAGGCGAGTAGAAATTTCAAGCCCTGCTCTACATGACATATTCCTGACTTCTAAACTTTGTATGCAATGCCATATATTCCATACTACTGACAGTTGCACTCTGTTATATTGACTTCTGTATTCCCAGCATACAGTGCACTACTTAACACAAAGCACAGAGTGCAGTGTCCTGCTAACTTATTGCAGAGCTCAAGAGTACTCTTCTCTCACCTATTCTCTCACCTATTCAGACTCCCCGCAAGCAAAAATATCCTCCTCCCCCACCTCAAACCAAATATTTTAACTCCCAAACATGATTTTCCAAAGAATAATCCCCCCCCTCATTTATTCCACAAGATAACCCCCCCAGCAAAAATCCGTCTCTCTTTCCCTGTCCTCCCGCTAGCAAAAACTTTCCTTCTTACTCCCTTACTCCCCCCCCAGCAAAAACCTGACCTAAAATGTTATTCCCTAACAAAAAATATTCTGCCTATTTCTGCTTTCCCAAGTAACAATCCCACCCCCATAAAAAAAATCCACTGCACAGATCTACCTGCTCACCTTCCCAAGCAAAATTTTGCCCACCAGAATAAATCAATCACCCGCCATACCAAACCCACAAGCAATAATTCCATACCGAGAACACAAAGCCATGTTCTGGTACAAATTCCCCCCTCCCTGAACTCACCAGACCTCAGATGCTGTGGTGCCTGCCAGAATGAGTGGAAGTCCTCCTAATCGTCCACTGATGATATGAGATGTTAAAGCCAAGGGGGAAGTTAGAAGTGCTTCCCTGGTCTTTGGGTTGCAGCTCTGACAAGCTGGCCACTTAAGTAGTGGCTACAGTAAAAAGGTTGTGGTATAAGGCCCTTAGGTGGGTATCTAGCTCTAGTGACACCCAGGATAAGTGTAGCTCTACCCGCATGGGGGCCATTGGTAACAACTGGTTCTCCCCAAATAGTACAGAGGCTGCCTGTCCCCACAAGCACCAGTCTATTCACACCAGCTTCAATAACTCAGTCTAGAGTATGTCTTTTTTAATATTTGTTGCTTGAAGAACTTTAAACAGGAGAGGGGTTAGGGCATGGGATACTCAAAACCGCTTGTAAAGAAATAGGACACTTTTCTCTAGGCTCACACACATGGATTCTTCTGGGGACACGAGGGAATGGCCAGTACTTTGAGACACAATGAGAGCCATTCCAGTCCATAGATACTTCTGACACTTACATCCCAAAGCACACAGGCACCAGGAATCACAGTTCAGGGTCATTACTCACCCAGGACAGCTGCAAATCTTCCAACTTCCTCCGAACAAGGCCCAGTGAGGGATACAATCCTTCTCCAGATCAGATCCCTCATGATGTAGTCCCACAGCCTGCTCCCCAAAAAGATTGCTTCAGGCTTGTAGGCAGGCTGCACAATGTAGTCAGCTAGCATGGCTACCCCAGCAGGAGGGAAGGGTTAAGTCTTTCTTTGCCACTGCTCCCAGAGCTATATTGGGCCTGACCTACTGATCCTGTGCATTATAAAAGTGACGGGGTCCGGATACACGAGAAAGGGGAGAAAGGAACAGATGGGGAAAAAAAGAGGGAAGGGACCAGTGACAGGATTCTGCCTTTACGGACTTTGCCAAGAATGGACTCTTACCTATGCAGGTTTGCTGGGGGCAGCCGTAGTTGTAGGTTTAGTTTGGAAAAAACATTGTTTGCTCTCTTGAACTGTTATGCTGAAGATTTTGTTAGTAAAGCATTGAAACATGTTAACGCCTGGCCTGAAGTTATTCTAAAGGGGTGTATGAAAGTTCCCAGCACATTACACATTGCCTTCTACAGTTTGGATTAGTTAAAGCACATTGGGGTATAAAGTCAGCCACTGCAAAAGTTAACATGGTACAAGCAGTTGCTACTAGTAACAGAAGTCTAGTAACCAGTACAAGCAGCCTGTCGAGAAGCATGGTATCGGTGATAGGCGAGGTGTCCTATAGCAGAGAAGGGGGGTTGCTTCTGGGGCTCCCTCCACAAGCAGTCTGTCTGCCATAGCTACAGGAGCAGATGAGGACTGCAGAGAACCTTGGTCTGGCCACTAGGCATGGAAGAAGAAGCGTTAACTAAGTGGATGCATGAGGTCTCTTCTGGGTGCACAGTAGGATCCCATTCTGTCACTGGGAAAGAGGTGACAGAGATACACTGGATGGGTGGAGTGGGCATACACTCAACGTGACTCTCCTAAATGCAGACGTTACAGTTAAGGTGTGCATTTTCATGGGACTAGAGTACTAACTGTAGTCCAGTTTATTTGCTCAGTGTACATGGTGAACAGCTATATCTAAGCTGCAGGACTGCTTTAAGCTTGAGTTATCCCTGAAAGCGGCCACCGCCTTGTCCAAGGGCATTGATAAGTATGACACAGCAAAGGTACCCCATGTGCAGAGCTAGTGACCCCATCCACAGTGCCCAGCATAGCCCAGAAGAACCCATAGTGGAGGTAGGCCTCTTTATCACCCTAAACTTGATGCTCAATGAGGTCATGGCAAAAGGCCCACCTACCTAACACCCCTTCCCCAGCCCAACTCACAGGCTCTCAGTTCTACCACAGCTGAGGCCTCAAAATCAGCAACAGCCCCAGAGGCTCTGGAACCTTCCCTGACCAGGAAAGAATGATCTCTCCAGGGCTCCAGACCATATTTCACCTCCATGGGATTGGCTAGGCCCGCATGGGTGCTCAACCTTTGGCGCTCCAGGTGTTCGGGAACTACAATTCCCATGAGGCATTGCAAACATGATTCCCAAAGGCAGAGGTATGATGGGACTTGTAGTTTCGCAACAGGTGGAGAGCCACAGGTTGAGCACCCATGGGCTAGGGCATGATAAATATTCAGTCTGGACATTTGACTCATTTGATTAAATTTGCCTAACATCCTATGCTTGGAGGATGCTACACAAGAAATAATCACACTCTATTTCTGTTTTGATAACAAGTGTAAAATGATCTCCAAGTCAGTTGGGGAGTAATCCTCCCCAGTGGGCAAACTAATAAAAAGTTTGGATGATAACATTGCTTTTTTATTGTTACTGCCTTTAAATTTAAATAAACATAAATTGCAACAATTGCATGGATGGAAATTGTATTTCATTTGATATTATTATCAATAAGATGAATAATTAGGGATACAGAAATTACTTAAGGTAGGTTAAGGCTCGGTTCACACTGCCACAACTTGGGATCCGACTTGTGAGACCCCAAGTTGCATGACATGGGAAATCCCATGTTAGTCAATGAAAGCCGTCTTAATTAGCACTACTGAAGTCGCTCTGAAAAGGTTCCTGTACTACTTCAACGTGACTTCTATACCACTTGTGCCCATGGACTTTAATAGAAATTGCCTCCAAGTGGGATCCTCACCTTTATTGATGTGATTTGGATTCGACATTACAGGAAGATTACCCAGGCATTCCATGAAAGTTGCTTCAGAATTGCTTCAAAGTAGTACTCAAGTTGCCTGGCAAAGTCGCACTGCAAGTCACGCGACTTTCAGGTAGCAGTAGAGTGAACCGAACTATAGCTGTTTTTACTGCAATATTCACCTTCAATTTAGAGATTTCCCTGGTGTACTTTTTGCATTCAATAGGTGCCCTCTGTCTGATGACCAACATTGTCTGGACAGTTCATCCCAGACCCACCCCATACTTTGACTGGATAGTTAAAGAAGAGTGAGCACAGCGATGAACTAATCTTTCTTTCACTTTGTCTTCTCTTTCTATTGGCATGCTTCTTGTTAGCAAATTAAATGTTTGGCTGCTTGTTCTGATTCTTTCTTTCACACTCCAACCCTTCTGTACAGGAACTGCCAAATGCTGATACCAGCTAAAAGTCAGGTACTTACACTTCTTAGCCCCTTCCATGTGCACCTTTCTGTAAGGGCTAGTTATAGATTGGGGTGGTTGACACTTATCTGCACAGCTTGTCGGATGAATTTGACATGGAGATTCATTGGATGCCTTCAGCTGCCATTGTGCTTTTGCTGGGTGTCTAATGTGTCCCTGCACCTTTAAGGAGGAATGGACTTCCTCCAGGCAAACCTACCTTAATCCACTTCAAATGTATATGTGCTCAAACTATAGAATTAGGACCACAATATACAGCCTTGGTGAGGCACTGTGCCTTTCACAAACAGTATATTTTCAAATGAGGGCAACTAAACCCTCTGTTTAAGGTTTTCAAATGTTGGACAGGGCTAATTTGGTTTTATTGCATACTAGCTGGTAACTGTGCTGGGAAATGTTCTGTTGTTTGTACTTACATTGTCTGCATTAAAAAGAAAGAAAACAAATGTATTAATCAATACTAAGCTATGTTAATTTGTGTCCTTTTATATCTGCCTAGAGTTCAACTTTAATGGTGCTTACACCAGTGGTATATTTGGGTTTTGTGCTGCCCTAGGCAACACAAAAATCGTCTGCCCCTATGGACATTGACCAACACCCCCCCTTCCCCCTTCAAAGGAGAGAGCCTGACATTGACCAACAACACCCCTGCCCCCCACCTGTGAGAGCCTTCCACTACCCCCCCGGCAATAGAGAGAAAGACACCCATCTTCACAGCTCTGAACATCCCCAGGAATGAGATTCAGGTTGTAAACACACTATCAAGCAGCCCGCAGCCTCTCTCGGATCCCACCCGGTTCCCATGACGAGCATGTCCCTTCTTCCATCCCTTCTTCTGGGGGGAGGTGCTACCCCCCTGAAAAATTCCACCCTAGGCAACTGCCTTGTTTGCCTTGTGGTAAATACGCCCTTGGCTTACACATTACACATAATGGCAAACCTAAGAAACTCTTAAAAAAAAACATTCAGGTAACCATTTGGGAATGTTTTCTGACTGGTTGCTCAGTGCTCTGTGTTCTGCACTGAATAGCTTCATGAAAGTACATTAAAATATTGTACAGTTTATTCTAGATTCTTAACAAAGTGCAATTTAACCAACTTGACTAAGACTCTTTATCAGCTGTGATTTGTAAGATATCTATTTACTCACTTGCTGTATTGATATTTTTGATAATTTTGAGTGGTTTTCCAATGTATATCATAGTTCAAACGTTTTCACTGTTATCTCTGGTAGGCAGAGCC